TAATACATCAACAAAATGTATCTCCGAAACACCAACTATTAAAAAGGAAAATCTAGCATTAAATTGACAAGTCTCCCTTTCAGACATACGGCTGCCTAACCCCAACTTTAGTAAAAATAAGTAAATAAATAAATAAAATAAAAAATAACAAGGCTGGGGCGTGTGGGTGGCCCAGTCGGTTAAGCGTCCGTCCTTGGCTCAGGTCATGATCTCACAGTTCGTGGGTTCGAGCCCCACATCGGGCTCTGTGCTGACAGCTCAGAGCCTGGAGCCTGCTTTGGATTCTGTGTCTCCCTCTCTCTCTGCCCCTTCTCTGTTCATGCTCTGTCTCTCAAAAATAAATAATAAATAACTGTTAAAAAATTTTTTTAAAAAAATGAATATTACGGCTAAGAACGCCTGCATTAAAACAGAGAACACCCTGTCCATATTGCCCAGGCACAACAACAAAAGACAAAAAGCCAGAACAACATAATCTAACAGTTAACCACAGGCAGGGGTTACTCAGAGTCCCAGTCCCTACTAGCCGTAACCCGCCCTGGGATCAGGGAGACAGACGCTGAATTATGAGAGAAATGGAACACTTCACACTCAGCCTTTACATCTCCAGGGCTCCCTGGTTCTTGTCGCAAACAATGGGGCATGGTACACGACAGACATACTAATCCTGAGCCTCTGGCAGGTCAGAGGAAATACAAGCATTCAGGGCTAGAAAAACAGATTGGCTGATGCCCAGGGAATGAAAGCCGGGCAGGAAAGAGACTCTCAGAGGCCAATTCTGGGCGAGACTAGACTCTACCAGCTAGCTGCTTAAGGCTAAGGAAGTGGGGAGCCATGCAGGTCATTTGTAGCTGCCTGCTGCTGGCCTGCTAGAATTCTGCTTTCTCCTTTATGCCGTCCTACATGGCAGATTCTCTCTTAATGCAGTTACCTTCTCCCAAGTGGCCTCCGTGCCCAGGAAAAGTTCTGTTTTCCAGGGGGATGGGTGCCCCCATGGCTGTGTGTCTGGTTAAGCATGGTTCACAGAGCCGAGTGAGGTTCTGGAGAGTAGGCTGTGACTGGTGCCAGGAACCAGAGCCTGCAGTGATTGGAAGTGGCATCCGACGCTTTTATGAGTGGGTCTGTAATCCATGGTAACTTCCAGAATCTTCTATTCCCTAAATTCTTAGAGCGGGCCCATCACTTCTCTTTCTGAAGCACCTACCTCTGGTCAACCGTCCGCATACCTCTTTCCTTGTTTTGTCTCATGGTGTCCCTGTTCCCCAAAAATCCCACAGGGAAGAAGAGAAACTTATTCACTCAGCGCTTTAAGCTAAGATCAGATTCCTTGCTACAACGCCATCTGCAAAGCATCCTTTATCCGGAAACAAACGGACTGCAGGGCCACCTGCTGGGCATTCCGAGCTGTGCACCCCGAGGTTCAAGTACCAGCTCCTTTACTTATCAGCAAGCAAGGCAGTGGTCCTCCGACTGACACCTGGTGTCCCAGGAGGACTTTTAAAGGAAGCCTCAGAGTTTTAAGGGCACCCATCCCCAGCTTCTCAAATTCTACACGTCCTCTTTGGCAGACAGGGTTGGGTCATGCGGGCAGTGAGCTACCTGCTGTCCTGCTTCCTGCCCTCCTTTAAGACAGTGCTATAGACTGAAGGTGTCCTCCCGAAACTGTTGAGACCTAATCACCCTGGTGAACAGGAACAGGATTTGTACCATCGTAAATGAGGCCCACAAGGCTGCCTGACCCCTGCTACTGTGTGAGGGCACAGCGAGAAGACGGCTGTCTGTCCGGAACTAGGAAGCAGGCTCTCACCAGTCCCCAAATCTGACAGCACCGTGGTCTTGGACTTCCAGCCTCCCCAGCTGGGAGAAACACATTTCTGTCATTTACAAGCCACCCAGTCTACGGTAGTTATAGCAGCTCGAGCACACCAAGACACTCAGTGCAGGCATCATTCTAAGTGATGTACATTTAATTTTTTTAATTTTGTTAATGTTTTTTTTATTTGAGAGACAGAGAGACAGAGAGAGACAGAGAATGAGCAGGGGAGGGTCAGAGAGAGAGGGAGACACAGAATTTGAAGCAGTTCCAGGCTCTGAGCTGTCAGGACAGAGCCCTACTTGGGGCTTAAACTCACAAGCCATGAGATCATGACCTAAGCTGAAGTTGATGTTTAGCCAACTGGGCCACCCAGGCAGCCCTAAGTGCTGTACATTTAACTCAAAAAGCCTCAAATGTTTCAAACAATGGGGAAATTTGAAATACCACAGTAGACTATTATTGGAGAATGCCTCCTTTATAAAGGACGCTTGCTGGCTACATATTTTGTGTTATTTCAAGGGGAAGGAAATAGAGGGCCCATCTTTTCACAATTAACATTATATTTCCAAGGAAAAGAATTCCGTATCAAGAGTAAATTCTGTATTTTCTTGACTTTTATTCAGATTTGTAAGAGAAATGTTTTCATCAACTCTGTCAAATGATTAGCAGGCACATAAATAATATTCACATCTTACTTGGACTCAAACCTCTTTTTGGCTTTTATTTACCAATAGCTTCTTTGTTCTTTTTTTTCTTTTCTTGCTTCTTTGTTCCTTTATTTTTCACCACCATATACCTATAAAAATTTGATGAACTTAATGGTAATGTTTATGGATTCTACTCTAAGTCCCCTTTTTGCTATTATTTTTCACTGAACCCTGTCTCACTCCAGCAATAATCTCACTTAATAGACACCTGAACTAATTTTTTAAAAGCCCAATAGATATGATTAAATGATAGATTTCCACTAAATTACCTTTAATATCTAAGAATTCTTTGCTAAATGTATACAGTTGACCCTTGAAAATATGGGCTTCAACTACACGGGTCCACTCATATGTGGACTTTTTCAGATAAATACAGTACAGTTCTGTAAGTATATTTTCTCTTCCTTATAATTTTCTTAACATTTTCTTTTCTCTAGATTGCTTTATAAGTTTTTTTTTAAATGTTTTTTATTTATTTCTAGGAGAGAGAGAGAGACAGCGTGAGCAGGGGAGGGTCAGAGAGAGAGGGAGTCACAGACTGAAGCAGGCTCCAGGCTCTGAGCTGGCAGCCAGCACAGAGCCCGACGCGGGGCTCGAACCCACGAACCGCGAGATCATGACCTAAGCGAAAGTCGGACGCTCAACCGACTAAGCCACCCAGGCGCCCCATCTAGATTGCTTCATAGAATATATATACTTAACAGAATATAGAAAATAGTATATAATACATATAACAAAAAATATCTGTTAACCAACTGCTTATCAGTAAGGTATCCAGTCAACAGTAGGCTATTAGTATTTAAGTAATTGGGAAGTCAAAACTTTTAAATGGGTTTTTGACTGCAGCGGGGAATCAGTACCTCTAACACCTGTGTTGTTCAAGGGTGAAATATATTTAGGTGGCTTTTATCAATCATGTACGAATAAGCATTGTAATGGGAATTTAATCTGGAAAAAAACTTTAACACTGAGAGATTTCTAGGTATAGAAAGGTAAATATTAATTTAAATTTCTGTATCTATTCTCTTGCAGAAAAGTATGAAAGGATCATCAATAAAAGACTATCAGGTGTTAAAATGTCAGTTTGATGGCTAATATCAAAAACATAAGAAATAACAAATATTGGTAAGGATTCAGAGAAAAAGGACCCCAGTGTGCACTATTGGTGGGAATGTAAATTGGTGCAACATTGGTAAGAAAAAAAATTTTGTTAACAGTTGGTGACATTGGTAAATTGGTGCAAATTGGAAAATACTACGGTGGTTCCTCAAAAAATGAAAAATAGCCATGCCATACAATCCAGTAATTGCACTTCTGGGTATTTACCCAATGAAAACAAAAACACTAATTTGAAGATATATATGCACCCCTTTGTTTATTGTAGCATTATTTACAATAGCCAAGATAATGGAGGCAAACTAAGGATCCATTGAGAGATGAATGGATAAAAAAGTGAGATATATACACGATGGATATGCCCCAGCCATTAAAAAAAAATGAAATCTTGACATTCACAACAAACTGGTCGGATCTAGAGGGTATTATGCAAAGACAAAACCCCTGAAATTTCACCTATAGGTGGACAAGCAAGCCAACAACAACAGCAAGAGTAACAGGCTCATAAATAAAGCCAAGGGAGTAACGATTGTGGGAGCGCAAATTAGGTAAAGGGGGTTAAGAGGTACAAATTTATTAACAAAATGAGTCACAGAGATGTAACCTACAGCTGAAGAAATAAGAGTCTATAATACTGTAATAACTGTATGATGACAGATGGTAATTACACTTTGTGAGCATTTCGTAATAATTGTTGAATCACTGGTACACCTGAAATGAATGTGTTATACGTCAACTGCAGTTCAATTAAAAATGTTCTTAAAATACACAGAGTCAAGAAAAAAAGAAATGGTTAAAAATAAATAAGACTACTGAATGTAGAAAAAAATGTTCCCTTAAGGTAAAAGCTCTTTGTACAGTATGACTGCACTGGGGGGCGGGGGTAGTGGAATCGGAACTTTTCAGTATTTAATTTTCCCTCATTTTTCGAACTTAATCCACAAGAAGAGTTACAATTTGATAACACTCTGAGAGGGATATAGATGGAAAAGTTAAAGTATTTACATCTGTTGCCACTACTGAGCTTGCTGTTAAAAACAAGGGCACCTGGGTGGCTCAGCGGGCTGGGGCCCTGGGCTGAGGCCTCCATCTATCTAGGGGGGCTGAGTTGGATTGGGCTCTGCTTGGGATCCTCCCTCCCTCTCTCTCCCCAAATAAACCACCTTTATAACAAACAGTACAGAGCATGGGAAGGTAGAGTCTCGGCCAAGTTCTTGCGGCATGGCTCTCACGGAGACGATCACCACCACCGGGGGTCTCGGAATTTCAAAGGTAAGCACAGCAAAGGGTGGGTCCTGCTGCGCCCTCCGTCCCGGGATCACCGGATTGAAACACTTAAACGCCCCCTTCCCCCTGCGGACCTAGGGCCCGGCGGCGTCAAACGGCACCGCGTGTGGCCGGGCACAGGCGCAGCGCCCCGAGCCTGAGCGTGGGGCGTGCGCCGCTCCCCGAGCCTCAGCGCCTCTCCACCCACGCCCCCGACCCCAGCCGGCGCCACCAAGCGGGAAGCAGGGGCGGAAGTGGCCGGACGGCCGCAGCCCTCGGGGTCAGAGGCCAGGAGCTCCGTGCGGGTCTCCCAAGCCGGGGGGGGCGGAGAGAGGCGGGGCGACGCCGGATCTCCAACAAGCCCGGTGATTGGTGGGTGGAGCGGCGCGGGGCGGGGCGACGCTAGCGTTACTAAGAGCTCGGAGGTTGGTGGGCGGGGCGGCGGGGGGGCGGGGCGACGCCGGCTCTCCGGACGAGGCCAGGGGTTGGTGGGCGGGGCGGCGGGAGGAGGGCCCGCGCCGGGGGCGTGGCTGGGCACGTGATACGGAACCGGCGCGGCAGAAGCTGAGGGGTGAGCGGTCTCCGGGGGGCGGGCCTGGGCTGGGTGGTCCTCGTGCGGCGGGTGGGTCGCGCCTCCGCGTGTGGGAGCAGGGGCCGAGGGCCCGGGGGGAGTCGTGCCCGGGATTCCGGGCTTGGAGGGGCCTGGCCCATCGCCTCGTACGCGTGTCCAGTAGGGACGGGGAGAGAGGATATCGCGGTTAAGAGAAGGCCCTCGTTGGGTCCCTGGGCGCTGCGGGCGGCGGGCAGGACGCATGGAAGACCGACCGCTCAGCCGCTTCCTCCCCAGGGGCCCCCCCAAAACTCAAGGCTCCTTCTCCCCAAGAGCCTTCAGGTCGATGTTGCTGGTCGGCCGGGGCCCGGGGTCAGGAGTCCGTAGGTCCCGCTGGACTTCCAGGCTGGGAGCCTGCAGCCTGTGGGTGTGAGGCGCGAGGGTGAGCCCTGCCCTTGGCCTCAGTTTCCCCATCTGCAAACTGGGGGTGGTCCTGCCCCGGGCAGCGCTCCACGGCGTGAGTGGGGTCCTGGATGGTCATCCTCGTGCTGACCTGGTGTCACGAGCTGGAGAACTTGAGAGATAAGGACTGGGACATAGTAGGTGTTGCGGCTACTTCTAGCTGCCACCAGCTTCATTATTTAAGTGATGGCACTGCCCGGGAAAGTGAGAGATCCTGGCATTTATTTTGAAAGCATAATATTTGCTCCTGTTCACTCCCACACAGCGCTTTTACCTTCCCAAGTGGGGTTCAGCAGGGCATGTCAAAGTGGCCCCATTTTTAATGGTTTCGGTACTTGGATGGGGGGAGGGGCAGGTTGGGACAGGAACTCCCAGAACTGTGAGTGGGAGCGAGAAAATGGCTTGGCCTGACCTGCTTTGACCAGATTAGGAATTCAGAGAAGGATTTGCTCTTCAGGCCGCCCTGGTGACTTGCCGGGAGAGCTGAACAATCTGGTCCCTGTTCCGCCTTTGCTGAAAGTGCAACTTAGGCAGTTGTATCTCTGCCTTAGCTGGAGGGCGGTCGTTTAATTTGGCTGGAGAGAATGTTGATGAGAAGATAGCACAGTGAGCTGGGGGGTTCTGGTATCGCATAAGCCGGAACCCAGATAAAAGGCACCCAGTGCAGCATATGGTCGTGGACAGCTTCCGGATTCACACGAGTGGTGATAGATGGGTGGACATTTGGCTGACTTACGCTCATGAAATGCCTCTCTGGCCTTTGTCGGCTGTCTTGTGTTTCAGATAAAAGCCTCGGGGGCCGCAGTCTGAGGTGGCTCGGAGGTGTGTGAACGTTTTATGCGCTGCAACTAAGCAGTTGGATCTGTCCGTCCTGAAGTCCTACAGCACAGCTGGGGTGTCTCTTTTGTGTGCTGATCGGCCGCCAGGCCTCATGTCCCGTAGATAGAGTCACTGCTCGGTTTAGCAATCGCTTTGGAATCCTCCAAGAAAAAACCACTCTTGGACTGGAACTACCTGGCTGTTACGGGATCTCGTCCCCACAGCCGCATTTCTGAGATATTTGCTGGGGCTGTGGTGAGCTGAGCCCTTTCAGCTCCGCTTCAGGCCAGACTTGCCACTTGATGGAATTTGAGATGTCAGTGGAGGGAAGGAAGGAGAACGGATTTCGAAGGTCCCCAAACCAGAATCCTTTTGTTTCCTGTTCATTCCCGTCTTTAAAGACGACTGGTCAAATGATTTCTTGTTCCCTGTACTTGCAAGTCAGAGCGGGGTGTATTGGGTCTCACACGTGAGAAGCTGGGTGTTGGAAAATGCACTCTGACGGGAGGCTGGATTCCACGGAAATTTCTTCATCAGGCCTGCATGGGGGTCTCGCACGTTGCCTTTGACCACTCCTGGGCTCAGATTATCAACTTTTTAAATTGGAGTTTGTCTGCCTTGCATTTTGATTGCTGTGTTGTGGGTTTGTGACAGTAACAGACAGGATGTGACAGTTTTGCTGCAATCTCTGGAGTGATTATTTGTGGTATTAATAAGTGGGAAGTTTAGCATGTGCTTTAGAAAAATTTTAAGTGCTAATAAACCAGTGTTACCGGGAGCAACCTACTTTTAACTTTCATCAGCTTGTCTTCAACTGAAGCCCTTTCTTCAGTTACTTGCCTTTTTTGACCCACAATTATGTGCACACTTTCCTTTGGAGAAAAGAATTTGGAGGTCACCCTGAGCCTCTCACTGCTTGTGTGTGCACTGTGGTCACTTCCTGGAGCCTCGTGATGGCTGCGAGGGTGGAGTAGCACTTTATAACGTCTTCAGCAAGTGCCTTCCTGGCCCGCTGCTCAGTCAGGCCTGTCTACAGGCAGGGCGGACGGGTTGTTTTTCTTTCCAGGACCCTTCAAGTTCTGCGATTTGTTTGAAAGATGTCAGCCCTCACTACCCTGTTTAAGTATGTTGACGAAAATCAGGATCGCTACGTTAAGGTAAGGGAATATTTATTCTAGTAAATTAGGTTTAATCCAGTGGGGCTCAGAGAAGCTGTCAGGAAGCTAATATGAGCTATGCCTTTTATTTATTTATTTACTTATTTTAAGTTTATTTATTGAGAGAGAGAGAGAGAGCATGCAAGCATGAGTTGGGGAGGGACAGAGATAGCGGGAGAGAGAGAAACCCAAGCAGGCTCTGTACTGACAGCAAAGAGCCCAACAAGGGGCTCGAGCTCATGAACTGTGAGATCATGACCTGAGTTGAAATCAAGACTCAGACACTTAACTGACGGAGCCACCCAGTGCCCCTGAGCTATGCCATTTAAATCAAGTATTAAAAATATTGTGTAGACACAGGTGCCTGGGTGGCTCAGTCGGTTAAGCGTCCGACTTGGCCTCAGGTCATGATCTCACATTTCTTGGGTTCGCGCCCCGCGTCGGGTTCTGTGCTGACAGCTCAGAGCCTGGAGCCTGTTTCAGATTCTGTGTCTCCCTCTCTCTCTGTCCCTCCCCCACTCATGTCCTGTCTTTCAAAAGTAAATGTTAAAAAAAAGTTTTTTAAGTATTGTGTAGACGGAGTGAGACAGATACCACGTGATCTCACTCATATGCGGAATCTTAAAAAGTGGAATGTGCAGAAACAGTGGAATGGTGGTTGCTGGGAGTGTGGGAGGGGGAAATGGGGAGATAGGGGTCAAAGGGAGCAAACTTTTAGTTCTGAGATAAGTAGTTCCAGGGATCCAATGTACAGCGTGGTGACTGTAATTGATCATACTGTGTTGTATACTGAAAATTTGCTGAGAGAGTAGATCTTCCAGAGTTCTTGACACACACACACACTCGCGCGCGCGCACACACACAGCAACCTGAAGTGTGTATGTATTATCTAGAGGTCTCCTTCTCTACCTTCTCATCACAGTATGCAAGTTACCCTTTAGTGCTTCACAAGTCTGAGTGTATATATGTTTCTAGAAATAACAGAGCTCATCCAAGAGTTTTGTTTAATCTCCACCTGATATAGACTAAAGAACTTTAACTTTTTTTTGCAATTAGTCTGTTTTAAATGATTCAGTAATGTTATATATTAATCTGTTTCTGACACTAATTTAAAGAATTGTGCTCAAAGTTATTCTTGGAAGACACGTTTCAGATTAAATCTGTAGTTCTCATTCTGAAAATTACACTTTGTTTTTTTAATGTTTTATTTATTTCTGAGAGAGAGAGTGAGAGAGAGAGACCGCATGAGGGTGGAGGGTCAGAGAGAGAGGGAGACACAGAATCTGAAGCAGGCTCCAGGCTCTGAGCTAGCCGTCAGCACAGAGCCCGATGCGGGACTCGAACCCACGAACTGTGAGATTATGGCCTGAGCCCAAGTCGGATGCTTAACCGACTAAGCCACCTAGGCGCCCCTGAAAATTACACTTTAAAGAACTTGGCCATTGTTAGCATGAATAATAAGCTCACTTGGACTGTGAAAATGTTGTTTCTGTATGTTTCAGCTTTAATTTTGTTAGATTCAGACATAAACTTACTTATGGAACTTTGCACATTTTACATTCATCTCATGCTTAAAGGGTAAAAACATTCTGACATTTTTCTGTTATTACGCTGCAGTTGTTGAAACAATATAATTTTTTAAAATCTTAAACAAAAAAACCAATGCGATAGCTCTTCTCTTTTACATCCAGCTGTCACGTTATAAACGGAGTGGCCACAGGTAGGGAGTCAACTTTGCGTGCCCGAAACCTGGCATAATCATGAATACCTTTCTTCCTCAAGCAGCACCTTTTCAGAATCCCTTTTTGCTTATTATCCCCAAACAGAAACTCGCGGAATGGGTGGCCATCCAGAGCGTATCTGCGTGGCCCGAGAAGAGAGGTGAAATCAGGCGGATGCTGGAACTTGCTGCTGCAGACATCAAGCAGCTGGGCGGCTCCGTGGAACTGGTAGATATCGGCAAACAGAAGGTACGGACCCGGCACCCTGGGATTTAGGGAACCATGGCCAGCAGGTCCCCCGAGGGGTTCGTAGGACTCAGCACATTCTTAAACCACCTTGCTTCAGATAATCTGCTTGTCTTTAGAGCAAACAGGAAAGGCCTGATTTGGGTACTAAACTGCATGATTCTGTCACTTGGATTGGGGCAAAGCTTTTGTGATACTCAGCGTTTTTCTCCAGGTAGGAGAGCTGCTGAGGTTACTTAGAAATAAGTTAATGTAACGGCCACTCATAGAAAATAGCTGGGACCCCCAGCCCCGGGAGAAAGCAGTGTGCATTCAAACCAGGAAGTTACACGCTACCCAACCCACGCAGCTGTAGAAGTAACGAAGGTTCCCACTCACCGCACTGTGTCCCCTGGCATCCCAGGGGCTAGAAGCGGCACTTTTTTATGACTTGGTTCCTGAAAATGAACACCTTTTTGTGGGGGCTGGGGGCCCCACTGCATTTTAGGGCAGGAATCTGACAGATGAATTTGGTTCATTTTCTTCCTAACTTGAATGAACAGTCTCACTCATGGAACATTATCCCACTGTGTTAGTTTCAGATGATTTCAAGTCCCACGGCAGTGACCTATTTCACAAGTTTGTAATATTCGTTTATATTGTGGAGGGTGACAGGGTTGGCCTTTCTCGGTTCTCTTGCTTGATGATGCAAGTGTCCGGTGGTATCATGATCTTGGGGTTTTATGTGTGGACATTCAGCTGCATTCGGTCTTTTCTCAAATGGAAGAACCCAGAGGCCCAGATGGGCTGTGTCTCTGTAGGGAACTCACAGCCAGGTCGTGGGCCTCCTGATTCCCAGTCCAGCATCGCATCTTTGAGATTTCTTTTGACAACAGATTTAATAGTTGATTTAAGATACGCTGCAGCTTCCCAGCACTTTTCCCCACTTGTGAGAGGATAACTCAAGTTTCTTTGTGTTATTTTCTTTTAGAAGCTTAATTGATTGCTCCCCTCCCTTTTTCCCTAACATATTAAAAAAAAATCGAGGTGGTGAACAATTTATAAGGTTGTGTCATTACAATAGATTGATTCTATTTAATGTTGGTGTTACAGTGTATTCCTAAGAAAGGGTGTCCACAAAACAGGAATGACTGCTACGCTCTTGAACTACATTAAGACCTGTTTTTATCAAGGAACTGACAGATTTCATCACTGTTAGAAAAGTTCTCCAAAGATTCTGGGAGCTTCTCTCCCCATCAGTTCACTGGGCAGCGGTGTTCCATTCCTCAGGAAGCCAGGTTGACTTGGGGCATGTCTGGGGGTAGAGTTGGATGTCGTCTGTGTAAGCACAGAAGCTGGAGCATCTCCAGGCTTACCCGGGAGATGTGACAATTGGGGGGAGCTTGGGTCCTAGTGATGGACCTCAGAGCACGGGTCCCTGGCGGGTGAGGCTTGAGGTCGGGTACGGACAGCGGGAAGGGCTGATGTGGGGCTTTGGCGTGGGGCTCACTGCCCAGGCTGGCTCAAGTGACATCACGTTGGTCCTGTTTGCTGCCCAGGTGGTTGGATGGGGAGGGTGCCTAGCTGGTAGATGTGGGGGACCCGGTCACCAGGGGCCTGACCTCCAGACAGAAGTGCTCAGGAAATGGGACGGTCGTGGCCCCTGAGCAAGAAGTGATGTGAGGGAAGAAGTGAACTATGTGTGCAGGACAGAATAGGACCCATTGGGTGCTGGTGAGGTGAGCCTAAGGGCTGAGAGCTGGGCCACATGGTGGCCGTGGGGGTGGGGCAGGAGGGAGGGAGACACGTGCCATCCTTGTCGAGGGCTTCTGCCCGGACAGCTTCTCTGGTAGAGGATGGCCTGGCATCCCCGTAAACACTGGACTGTGTTTCTCAGCCAGACTTTATTCTTTCACTTTCTGAGGAGTTAGGGATACCCCGACAGAGATTTGCAACCTGCAACATGAATTTCGGTAGAAATTTATCCGTGGGCCCTAATGGCATCCTTGAAAATGGTAAAGTATTCAGCATCTCAGCTATATTGAGTAGAAATTTATTAAGAGAAAATTTGTCATTTAAAAAAACCATTATTTTTCTGAGGCCAGCTGTGGGCCGGCTGCAACTATAGTGTCACATGTCTGTGTCACCAGGGTGGGGAGTGTGAGGAATGATTCTTTGCCTGTCGTGGCTGTCCTTCTGTACTGGTGCGTGAAGCCAGTGGTGGGGGTGGTTCCTGTGGGTGGGCGACCTTGCATCCCAAGGCTGCACCTGGGTACTGCGGGGTGACCAGGAGTTACGGAGCTGAGTGCTTATGGGGGGAGTTCACTGGAAAGACAAAAAGACAAATGGTGCAGGAATCCCAGCAGCCTGTCATGTTACCTAAAGCATGGGTCCCCTTAGTGCTGTGACTGATACCCTGTCCCCCATTCTTGCAGGGCTGTGGGAGACCGATTAGGGGAGGAGGCTCGAGGGGGCCCCGGCTCCCACTGCCCACTTGAGTAGGACTTGCTGTGAATTCTGTTCCCTTCCGTCCTGCTCTGCGTCCTTTCCCACGTGCATAATTGTGAACCACGTGCAGAATTTCAAACCTATCTCCTGCTTGAAGATAGTAGTAGTTTTCTTCCATTATTTTAGAAAATAGTGAGCAAAGTTGTATCCCAGGCGTGGCCTTCATAACCTGTTTTGTCAGTATAGACGTTTAAAAAAGTCAGCTTTGAAAAATTCACCAAACTCCCTGCAGTTGATAAACGTTATGTGGTCTAAGTTCTGTGGATTATGGGAAAGTAGTTTCTTGTTAATTGATGCAATTGAACAATATGTTCTTAAACTGTACAATAGAGGGTGGTTGATAAGAACAGATAACAGTTTTCAAGGTACTTTAGTAATGTCTACTGCAAGCATCAAATTTGGGAAACAAAGGCTGTCCTCTCTTGCTTCCTTTTCGACTCTTAGCTCCCTGACGGCTCCGAGATACCACTTCCTCCTATCTTACTGGGCAAGCTGGGCTCCGACCCCCAGAAGAAAACCGTGTGTATTTATGGACATCTGGACGTGCAGCCGGCTGCCCTCGAGGATGGCTGGGACAGCGAACCCTTCACCCTGGTGGAGCGCGATGGTAAGGGGCACCTTTCTCTAGGAGAAGCATCTGGAGAAGCCTTTCTGCTCTCCTGCCTCAGAGAGAGAACTTGTTATCTTTCCAGAGCAAGTCATTTTCACGTCACCTAGCAACTGGGTTCTGGAAGTTTCACACATGTGCACCAGTCACTGAAGCATCAGAAAGCTTATGTGTCCTTCTGGAAAGGAGTGTTTGAGGCCTGGGGTCTGCTAGACTTCCTTCCATTGCTGACGTTTTCTCAGAAAGTGTGTTGTGAATTCAGGCTTGCAGCCCTCGAAAGCCTGCAGCCTCATCCCTAACCCGCGTGCGGCTGCTTCGGGTGTGTTGCAGCAGCTGTGCGCTGGGATGTTAGGGGAGCCTTGGTCTTCCCCGGCCCTGTCTCCCCGGCAAGGGACGTAATAGGCACTCAGTGATAGTCTCTGGTGCTGCCTGGGCCGTGAGCCCACAGGCACTTGACGGTCTTTGCCAAGGACCTGGCTCTTTCTTCCTGTCGCTGTCCGGTGTAAAGGGTCCTCCCGCACTCATTCCTGAGTCTCCCTGTCTCCGTACTTGACCGTCTCCGGCCAGAAGAGAAAGCCCGTCCATTTGTACCTCGCCCGGTGGGCTAAGTGCACACTGTCTTTCACTGAAGCTCTTCTAGCCGGATGCGTGAAGTTTCCGTTCAGACCTTCCCCCGGCTCGTGTCAGCCGTGGTCACGACTGGGCACAGTTGCGGAAACCTCTCCACCCAGAGCAGCGCCTCTGACACCGCGGCCGCTGTCGCCGCGCCGCTGCGACTCGCTGTCTGGCCTCTCTTGGGCGTCAGACACGTACCTGCGGGCCGTTCGCTTGCCACTGCCCGGAACAGAATCCCCTGTCCTGGGTCTCCTGCCGCCCTTCCCCCCGGCTCCCTCGCTCTCCGCGTCCCCCACCACACGCACCAGAAACCCGGCCAGTGCCCACCCTGCTCGCGCACGCCCGGGGCCTGCTGGACCTTCTCCCCGGCCAGCGCTCTTCCCCCGTGGGACGCTCTCCCGTGGCTCGGTGACGTGGGGCCTGCTCCCTCTGCTTCCTGCCCCAGGATGCCCGCGGTGTCATGTGTCTGTCCTGATCCCTCCCGGGAGGCTCCGTGGCTCTTCCGCATCCCCCCACGGCCCCCTCCCTGTCCACGGGAGCACCTGCTGGTGCACCGCGCTGGTGTGCGAGGCCCATACGGAGGCGCCCTCGGAGTGCAGGGCGTGGATGCAGCTGCACTAGCTCCTCACCCCAGGGAGGCTCCGTGCCGTGTCTCCTGTTGGGGGCCTGCAGGCAGGGAGCACCCCGCCTCTGCGCACCTCTGTCCTCTGTGCACCAGCCCAATCGGTGGATGCAGGCAGTGCTTGTCGCGGGAACGAGGCTACTTTCAGGAGAGCGCTGCAGCCGTCCTGAGAAGCCGGTCTCATTTATAGAAAGAAATTCCCAAGGTGGTGATGGCGTGAAGCCTCTCACTGAAACTGTGAAACATTGGAAACAAGCTGCAGATGAGGATGAGGAAGTCAGAGAACTAACCGGTCGCAGCAGACCGACCAGAGGGGGGCTGAGCCTGAGCCCGCGGACGCGTTTCTTCCTCTGTCCTGGTGTCCCTGTGCGAGCTCTGTGCCGCACGACAGGCCGCGAGGAGGGTCTGGGCTTCACCCCTCCCCCAGTGTCCTTGGTGGCAGCCAGTGCCCAGCCCAGCCGCCTCCCTCTGTAAGGGGACCCGGGAGTGGGTGTGCATGGCTGGGAGGTCCTGTGACTAATTACACGCAGGAGAAGCAATAGTGTGTCCTCTGGCTTTCCAGGTGGTAACCTGGGGAAGTAAAGAATAAACACGTTCTTTTCTTTACCAGATTAGGTGTCAGAATTGAGGTTGAGGGAGACCGTTCTCTCTCGATGATGGTGCCTTGTGGGTCCTGCATGTGACCAGTGTGCTGCCCTTACTGCTGCCAGCTGGTTGTGGACGTAGATTTTAAGTAACTAGCCGGCTGGCAGTGACCGCCTGGAGCTGGGTCAGCAGGCACGTGAGCGCTGACGGCTGCGTCTGCAGCAGAGGGGGAGGGGCGCGTGGGGGCGTGCGCGTGCTTGCCCTTAGATTATGGTGGACCCTAATCTAATTTAGGATGGGGACGCGGGGCTCTCGTTAGGATGAAAACGGGGCTCCTGATTTGTAGAGGAGGCCGCGTGTGGTGTGCTGAGATGGTAGCAGGTGTGCTCCACAAATCCACTTTCTCTTCTGCTTCGCTGTGGGCGTAACTGAATTTGCTGATTGCTGTTCTAGGCAAATTGTACGGGAGAGGCGCAACCGATGATAAGGGGCCGGTGGCTGGCTGGCTGAATGCCCTGGAAGCCTTCCAGAAAACAAATCAGGTACTTGAGCCGCGTCTGACTGGCCCCATTAAGGCCGTGCAAGGCCGGGCTGCCTGTCCCCGGCACCGCCTGTGAAGATCAAAGATCACTGGGACCTGAGAAAGCAAGGTTCCCCGAGACCATGTCAGCACAGTTGGATCAGATTTGAGATGATAGGTTTGTTTTCCAGCTTTAGGAAGCGTAATTGTTTTACAGCTGTCCGGAGGTCACAGTACTGACGACTCAGCAGGGACCCAACCGGCACTGGAGATTCAAGTTCTCAGCCCTTGGCCCCACCGCCGAGAGGCCTCACCGCCGGGCCGTGACGTGGGCCCTGTGGTCGTGGGCGACCCCTGTGTCTCTCAGGGTGGTTTTTATCCTTCTGAGAAATTTTTAGTTTTTGAAATATATTTCCTTAACTGTAAAATACCTGCTCCTGGTCTAAAGTTTATAAAATAGAGAAGTAGAGAGGAAAACGGTGCCCAGAATGTCAGCTGTCTGAAGTTTTGTATTTTGTTCCTTTCTGATCTTTACAGCTATTTTTAACCTAATCCTGACCAGCGTGTATAGATAATTTTTGCATCTTGGCTTATCCTGCATCGTGATAAAATGAGAACGAGACAAGCGTTTTGGTCAGAGAGTAGAACGGTGGATCTGAAAAGGGTCTGGGACTCTCTGGTCCAAGGTGTCATTTTGCACAGGAGGGAGCCGAGGCCCAGAACCTCTGACTGGCTGGACTCAGGGACTGGAAAGGCTCCCCTTCCTCTGGGTCCTTGGGGGCGTGGGCGTGCCCCAGGGGAGCGTGGCCACGTGTGGCTGCTGGGGCAGTGCCTCTTAGACCTGTTCCATGTGCCAGCGTCCCAGGAAAGATTTCATTTGAGAGACAGAAGTGGGGGGAGCGAGGGAGGAGGTGCAGAGAGCCGTTTGGGGGACTCCACGGACCTGTGTCCATGTGGGGCTCTGCCATCTTGTGGCCTGTGTGACCTTTGAAGGCACCTTGCTGGGATGCCGCTTCGTTTTCTCATCTGTGGAGGGCCACCTCCCTCGGTGTGCACGCTGGGGAGACCTGGGAAACCACGGAGCAGGCGCCAGAGCGACAGCAGTGTTAACCATCACTGTCCGCCCTTCGGGGAATGGCCCTGTCGGCGCGCGGAGAGTGGGGTCCCAGTGCAGAGCGCTCGTGATGGGAACGGTGCGCTGGTGGTGACTGGCACGGGCCAAGATGGGTTTTTTCTGTGTCGCGGCCTGTGTGGGACAGAGAGCAGCTCAGGCTCCCCCGGGGACGCCTGATCCACGCTGGGTGAGCGCAGAGGCCCCGCGAACAGGAAGAGGGGCCGCACTGTGGTGCCCTTGGATGCAGTCCTCCGGGAGGGTGGCTGGATCCCTGCTGTGCCCGACGGCCCAGCCCCGAGGACACAGGGTCGCTGCAGGCTGCACACAGCCTGCCTGGGTGGTGGGTCTGGGGGAAGTGGAGTGTTTGGAATTTGTGATCTCAAAGCGTTTGGTGACTTCCTGTCTCTTGTGTCCAAGAAATAACTGCACACAGAACTCTGCATCCTCATTTCCCTTCGTAGGAAATCCCAGTCAACGTGCGATTCTGCCTGGAAGGCATGGAGGAGTCGGGCTCTGAAGGCCTGGATGAGCTGATTTTTTCCCGGAAGGACACATTCTTTAAAGATGTGGACTTTGTGTGCATCTCGGACAATTACTGGCTGGGAAAGAAGAAGCCGTGCATCACGTATGGTCTCAGAGGCATTTGCTACTTTTTCATTGAGGTATCGTGTAGACGTCTATGTGTTTTGTGGTGTGTCTTCCAGCCCATAGTCCCCCTTGTCCGTCGTGGCCCTGGGGGCAGGTCCCAGAAAGGGAGCCACATGCTTGATGGAGGAGCCCAGAGCCTTCTCGGCGTCTTGGTTGTCAGTGTGGCACAGCTTTGTGGTTCTCCGGGCGCGGATGGCCTCAGAAGTCCACGTCACACATCTTGCAGCTGGGGGTGTTTGGAGGATCGCCTCCGAGCGGTCGGGGAAGGGTAATGTGCAAAGCATTTTAGAAAGACTTTGAAAAGTTGAGATGTCCCCTCAGGCCCCGCCTGGCCCAGAGATGTCGAGGGAACTAGGTCGTTGCACTAGACACCGAAGCCGCGGGGCGCAGGGGTGCGGCGGGCAGGCCCGGGCGGCTCACATCGGCGTGGCCAGCTGAGCCCGGGTCCCATCCACAGATGAGGTGCCTGGCACACGGGGTGAACTGTGAGGGGGTGTTTTATGGGCCAAAAATGCCAGGACGATCATAATTGCTGCCTGAGCGCCTGGCCTCTCAAGAGGATTTCACACACCGCTGGACACAGGGACCCGCCGGCCGTGAGCCACATGCTCCCACCTCACGGTTTGACAGGTGTGGACTCAGGCCTGGCGAGGCCTGAAACCTGACCCTGGTCACACGCTGGGGGAGGGGCGGGGGCATGGGGAGCAGGACCTGGGCCCAGGGCCTCAGGCTCAGGGTCCTCGCTGCTGCTTTCCGTGTTGGCGTTCCCGCTGAGCAGAAAGGCGCGGGGTGTCTGCGAAGCCTCCCGAGAGGGCTCAGGGCGCTCAGGGTGCCGGCCTGCGGCGCGTTCCCCTGTGGCCTCCGTTGTTGCTGCGGACGTGCTGGCGTTTGGGGAATGCCTTTGCTTTGCTCCTTGAGGGAGCGGATTTTGATCCTGAAGATTGTCAGGTCTTGTGAACATTCTTTGCTCGATTTGCTGCTGTGTGGCAAGGACGCGCTCCCGCCAAGCAGCCAGTAGAGTGGCCCGTTTCCGTCCAGGTGGAGTGCAGCGACAGAGACCTCCATTCCGGCGTGTACGGAGGCTCGGTGCACGAGGCCATGACAGACCTCATCTTGCTGATGGGTAAGCGCGGGTTTCGTCCCTACCTGCTGACGGGGAGAAGCTGGAGGGGCCTGTTTCCAGGCTGTCACCGGCATTTGGTGCTTGTCACCATCATTTTTGGACCACTTTCCTCTCTTTCACTCTTGCTCCCTCCCTCTGCTCCCTGTTCCTTCAAAAGATGGACATGCTGCCTTTCTGCCTCCGTCCCCCTTGACCTCTTCCTGTGTCACTAAACCCTGCCTTGCCCCTGACTCCCAACTTGGACAGCCGCTGGCTCCGCCAGGCCCTGTGTGAGCTGTCCGCTAGGCTCACGTGACCGTTCCCGCTGCTCGTGGCTGTACCTCCCGCCCCTCGGAGGGCCCCTGCCTCGGTGTGTTTTACATCGTAGCAGCCCAGCGAGGTCCCCGCGCGCCCAGCTCTGTGGGGGCCGGCCCGGTCCTCCCGGTATCCTGCTAGTTTGAGGCCGGATGTAACTTTGTGTTGCCCACAATTTGGCTAAGTTCTGTCTCCTTCCCTCTCGGATGTTGGGTCCGTACGTGCAGCCCACCCTTCCTGGGACTAGAGTCTACTCTGATCTACTTATCTTCCTCCTCTTTTTTATATAGATTTTTTTTTAAGTTTTTAAATTTGTTTTGAGAGGGAGAGGCAGAGCGTGAACAGGGGAGGGTCAGACAGAGAGAGGGAGAGAGAGTCCCCAGGAGGCTCTGAGCAGTCAGCACAGAGCCTAACGTGGGGCTCAGAGTCACAGACCTGAGCTGAAACCGAGAGTCGGATGCTTAACCCGCTGAGCCAGCAGCTAGTTTGAGGAGCATGTATTAGAAAAGAAATACTGGTTAGCACGGCGGCTCGTGCTCGCTGCGTATCCTGGTCTGGGACCGTGGGTGCGTCACCTGCTCTTTGGTGTCCGAGTCTCCTTGTGTTAAAACGGGAAGATGGGCTGCACACCTCCCCGGGTTGCTGCGATATTTAAACTGTTGGATAATCACACGTGCCTAGACGGTGCTCGAGCGTTCACGCGTGCCCGGGAAACGGTCCTCCTCGGCCCCTGGCTGGGGGGCACGGGCTCCCACGGGGCGCACTGCCCTGTGGGAGCTGCCTGCCTGCTGAGCACTCCTCCTCCCTGTGCCTTTCCAGGCTCTCTGGTGGACAAGAAGGGAAAGATCCTCATCCCAGGCATCGGCGAGGCGGTGGCCCCCGTGACCGAGGAGGAGCTGGAGCTCTACAACAACATCGACTTTGACCTGGCCGAGTACGCCAAGGACGTAGGGGCGGAGACTCTGCTGCACGGCTGCAAGGTGCTGCCCCCCCTCCCGCTCCCCCCAGCCCATGCATCCGTGAGGCCTCCTGATGTGCCCTCTCCGGGGGACACCAGTGGGAAGGAGCCCGAGGTGCTGGCAAAGACCTGGGTGCGTCCGTGCGTCCTGGAGCCCTCAGTTGGTGCAGATGCCGGAAAGCAGTGCATTACTGGGCTTGGAAGTAGGAGGGTTTTAAACAAGTCACAGGATGGCTTTTGACAGCCTCGGAGCTGGAGAGTGTGCATGGAGAGCACATAGCGGCAGGGCTTTTGCCTTATTTGCGTTTGCACGATAATTTTTACCGCTTAGCCCAGAAATGATTTCAGGCATACGGAATAGCCGGGGGCCACGGTGGAAACTGTTTGCACAAGCTGGTTACTAAACCGTTAGGAGAAAATTGTGTTAGGATATTTCTCCTTACTAGTCTGGTTTATGTCTGATTTAGCCAGTGTGAGTTGAATTGCAGCAGCAGGCCCGGGTTGTGTGAGGAATATGGCCAGGCTCAGCCGCCGGGTTTCATCTCTCCGGGGGCAAATGGGCGAAGAAGCGTAGAAGGGTGTGGAGGTCACTCCACGGTGGTCTGCAGCCTGGTGCACCTGGGAGGGGTGAGGCCTGAGGGGTGAGCGGTAGAACAGGGCATGGGCGGGTGACGAGAGCTCTCTGGGCCGGGGAGGGGCTGGCCAGAGGACAGAGAAGGCCGGCCTGCAGCCTGTGATGTGCCGAGGAGCTGGCGTGCTCGCCGGGAAGACAGTGGACACCGTGCGCAGGGGTTTAGGGCAGAGGGACCGGCTGATGAGACCTCACTTGAGGGTGGATTGTGGCGGAGGCCTCGGGTTGGAGTGGGGGCCGTGGGGTGGGGGGACCTTTGTGCTACTGCAGGGGGGACCTGCAGCTGGTGCCATGGGGTAGGGGAGGGGCACGGGGGCACCCTGGGCTCAGGGCACACCAGAGTCGGGCCTGAGTGGAGCCCGGGCAGCTGGCAGATGAGTCCGAGGCCAGGAGGCGCTGGCCCGGGGATGGGGTGAGTCTGGGAAAGTGGGGCTCTGAGCAGACTTCTGTTCCCTCGTGCTGCCTTTGGGTCAGGGTCTGTGGTTGTGGAAGCGGTCTGCTTTAGGGCCAGCTGTCACCTGGCTCACAAACAGGGAGCCCGCACGTCAGGTGGCAAAGTCACTGAGGAGCCCTGGGGACCCTTCCGGGTTCCTCCCTGCCAGCTGCTTGTTCAGGTGGCCACGCGTCCTTCCTGGCCCATCGGGTGCCACTGCAGGGACGCGTGGGGCGTGGCGGCCGTGGTGACGACCCTGTGTTCTGGAGACGGGGGCTGCTCTGTGCCAGTCCCCTGGCAGAGGGTGACGATGCTTGTCCGTGGTCGCTGGGCCCAGGACGCAGTGGGCGGTCCTGGCTTTCCTCTCCCAGTAGGAGCCACTGCCGCGTTCTGGGCCCCGTGGGCCGGGGGCCTTGGGGGCTCACGGACGGCCTGTGTTGTGCCACCCTTTCCTCCTGGTTCCTGACGCCGCTGGTGGCTGTGGGGCCCCAGGTTCTCCCTGGATCCCGCAGGGCCGGCGGAGCCCTGTGGCTCTTCTGTCAGCAGCCCAGAGCTCCCGGCACACAGGGAGATGCCTCCCCCGGGGCCGTCCGGAGTGGCCCCTTGCCCTGTGGTGTGTCACAGCGTCACCGGGGCGCTCTGGGGAAGGCTCACCTGTCTGCCCTTGGGTCTGTATCCCCTGCCTGTGATTGTGTGCACCTCGGGCTGGGTGTGACCATGAGGGACTCCCAGATGACATTGCCACTTCCCTGCCACCCGCCCCACTTTGTTTTCTGCAGAAAGACATCCTGATGCACCGCTGGCGGTACCCGTCCCTCTCCCTCCACGGGATCGAAGGTGCCTTTTCTGGGTCCGGGGCCAAGACCGTGATTCCTAGGAAAGTGGTGGGCAAGTTCTCCATCAGGCTTGTGCCGAACATGACTCCCGAAGTCGTGAGCGAGCAGGCACGTGAGGGAGCGGGGCGCCGGGAGGGGCTCGTGCCGCAGCAGAGACTGCGAGGGTGACGATTCCTGGGAGGGCAGCTGAGCAGCTGGAGACACAAGCCCCAGACCCGCACTTCCTGCTTCTCGACTCTTGCCAGCTCTGTAATGACTGGAATAAGCAGTTCAGAAACTGATGAAAGATAGAGGCCATATAAAAAGCATCACAGTGACCTTTGTCACTGCTGAGGCGTGCTAAAACCTGACCTCTGACCTCATCCTAAGGCTTCAGGTTCGATGCTGACTTTGGGCAGAGTATGCCAGGGTGAGGATCCGTGTCTGGGCTGTGGGGAGGGGTGGAAGGGCAAGATTCCAGAAGGGGAAAATTCCAAGAGGGGACAAATTCGGGGAACAGTGACCCCGCCCTCATCCAGGACGATTTCCTGCAGGAAACGGAGGACAGAGATTGTCATCAGGTGTGCCTCAGTGTCCACTTTTGGTCTAGATGTGATAATTATCATAAAGCAAACCAAGAGACTTTGTAAAGCCTTGATTTAAGTGTCATGTGGGAGCATCTACGCGAAGGGTGAATTGCTTCAAGTTAAAGCGTCACCTTTTACTTCAAATGGCTGGATTTTGTTTCTTAATAAAATCCTTTTTTTTTTTTTTTGTTATCACAGTTATGCTCAGCAATTAGCAGCAGAAAATGAGACCCACTGAGACTGTTTGTAGACTCCCTGTAGACGTGGCTAGACTCACTGTAGACGAGTTGTAGGCCACCGTGGATTTGTCATAGGCCTGCTGTGGACCCCCGTAGACCACCGTAGACTAGATCTCTAGCGCCAGATCACATGCCAGGCTAATAATACCTGTGTCTCTCATTTGTGGCTCAGGTTACAAGCTACCTGACAAAGAAATTTGCTGAACTGCACAGCCCCAACAAGTTCAAGGTGTACATGGGCCACGGTGGGAAGCCCTGGGTGTCTGACTTCAACCACCCTCATTACATGGCTGGGAGAAGAGCCCTGAAAACAGGTCAGACTTCTCCCCGGGGATGCAAGCAAGGGCCTCGAGGAGAGTCCGTGCATGGACAGGGCCCTGCCACCAGCCGACCTTGAGAGCGGGGCTGCCGTCCCCAGGCCGCGCTCAGGGTCTGGACCCTGCGTCTGCGGTGGGCCCAGCTTCGCAACCCAAGAGCTCACCCTCTCTCCTCTGTTCTTCCCCAGTGTTTGGTGTTGAGCCGGACTTGACCAGGGAAGGTGGCAGCATTCCTGTGACTCTGACCTTTCAGGAGGCCACGGGGAAGAATGTTATGCTGCTGCCTGTGGGCTCAGCTGATGATGGCGCCCACTCCCAGAACGAGAAACTCAACAGGTGAGGCTCTGGGCCCTCGTCCTGACCCTGAGCTCATGTCCTCAAGGCTGCCTCTTCACTCCCCGCCTCCCGTTCTGCTCCAGAAACGGTGGTTTCTGTGGCCCGCCGCCTGCAGGGGAGTGAACGCGTCTGGGGAGAGGCGGGGTGGGAGGTGGGGGGCTCCTGGAGGTGATGGGTCTTCACGGTGAGGCTCAGCCAGTGGTGTGTGTTACGGCAGGCTGCTAAGGAACCCCGGCCCTTTTCCTGTTTGGAAAATCCCAGTGTCATGATCGTGAGCCCCTGGTACGTGCTCCTGGCTCACGCAGCCGTGACGGGGGCTCTTCACCAACGGGGAGGGAAGGTGCTCTGAGTTAGCAGCAGTGAGGACAGCTCCGGGCTGCAGGGATGACCTGTGGGCAGTAAGGAAGAGCCATCTCAGGGTTACTGGGGTGGGCTCGTCAGGGGCGAACACAGAGGCGGAGACCCTGCTTGGAGGGCAGCGGGAGGGGACGGCGACCCGGGTGTCAGGGCACAAGGTGGAAGCCTCTTATCCAAACAAACAAAAGGAGGGGCTGTGATCAAAGTAAGGCTTTTCCTATCCAGTCCTGGGTGAGGCCCCCTGTATTCTGTGAGGCCAGGACAGGACCGGTCCCCAGCGGGGCAGTCGGACTGGACCTGCACTTGAGACCCAGGTGGCCAGTTTCTAAAGGCCAGCGGAACTGACGCCAGCAAGGCAGGGCAGCGGGCGTCCCAGAAGGAATGCCGCGCGTGCCTGGACCCCCGGACGCCAGCCAACACGACGGCTTGTTCTTCTCCGTCAGGCTTAACTACATAGAAGGAACCAAGATGCTGGCTGCGTACCTGTTCGAGGTGTCTCAGCTGGCGTAGCGAGGCGGCCCATCCTCCCCGAGCACTGCCGGAGGAGTCCTGCGCCCGTCCGCCCGCGCTCTCTCCCGACCGCTCAGGAGAGCGAAGCCCACCTCTCCCCTTACCCTCCTGTCAGCAACAGACTGGATGACCGCCGAGTTCTCAGAGGGGGCCAGCGTGATGGGCTCCGGAAGGTAGCCAAGATCTGAAAGCGCACGTTCTGTAGAAGGTTCTGGTTGGCATCCACTTGGGCTAGACAGAGGCATGGGCGCATTCTGCCCCGTCTCTGCTTCCTGACTCAGGCTCGCGTGCACTCGGAGTATTGATCGGGGGTGTCTGATGCCTTGAGGGGCCACCCTTTCCGAGCCCTCACTATTGTGCGGTTCTGTCCTTTCTCAAGACCTAAAACTGTTGCTCGTGTGCTGTCTCCTCTTCATTGTGATTCCGCAAAACCTAAACCTAAGTGGAAGGATTCTTTGTTCTCAGTATGTGCTGCCAAATAAAAAGTAAAAATGACGCCTCTGGGAGAGTCCCTGCCCTGTCCCTCACTCGCGGGGCTCGCCGTCCTGGGCCGGGGGTGCGGGTGGCTGTGTGTGGGCTCATGGTGGGGGCAGGGGCTCCTCGCCCAGCCACACGAGGAGAGCGGAGTGGTGGCCCTGGATGTGGTTCGTTGAGCCCCGTGGTCCTTCTCACCTTCACGCCTCCAGTTCTCCGTGGGGCCCTTGGGTCTGTGGCCCCTGCTGCCTGTTCACCTTCTTCCTGGCCCCCTACCCCTCCGTGAGGCCCAGGACAGCCACTGAGGCCACTCGCTCACCGTGGACACTCGTGCGTCTCGGTCCCTCGAGCCACATTGCTCTGGCCTTTGTGCTTTACCTCCAGTTTCTAGTTGGGGTGGGGGGTGGGGAGGATAGAGCCCCCTGCGGTGTGGATGGGATGGCGTTCATCAGTGAGCATTCCAGAAGTGGTTCTGCAGCTGGGGAGGCCTCCGAACGGCCAAAACCCAAAGCTCATCCGTATAGTCTTACTCCACCAACAAAAACACAGCCACCTGGTCTCACGTAGAAAAAGCTAGCACTTCCAGGGCCACATCCTTGACCCGGAAGCCCACGAGCTGAGGGGAGCTCCTCTGACCTGAAGGGACTGGAGTGTCTCCGTGTGACAGAGCAAAGGTCAAGTTCAGTCTGCCTGTTCACTTTCAGTAAAGGTGTCCGGAAGAGATGACGGGCGTGTGAGCATCCTTACCACGTGTATTAGTGAGGACGTAGACCAGTCGACTGGGACCAGAGGCTTCACTACAATGACCACTTACACATTTCTCCTCGTAAGATCTGGTGGCAGCTCTTCCGTCACGGGGGGCCCGCTTCCCGCTGCTCTGCTCCATCACAGTCCTTGGTGGCTGCTCCGGCCCCCACCTGCATTTCAGCCTGTGCTTTCAGGCGCAGTCCAGAGTCAGCCCGTGTTCCTTCCATGTGCCTCTGCCGTCAGGAGGGGTCACACGGCCACGTCTAACTGCACCAGGGCTGGGACACGTGCCTGGCTGAAATCCCCATCACTCCATAGCAGTGCCATCACACTTGTCCCAAGGAAATCAGAGAAAAATAGACTGCGTAGCATCAGATAGAGGAAGGATTCATGGAGCGCACGTTTCGTTAACTCATTTTCCAGAGAGGATTTTAACATTTGCGTCAGTGTCTTCGGCTTCAGGGAGCATGCCCTGTGGGGACCAGGAAGCAAACCTCAGCCAGCATTATTCACACCTGCCTTTTCCTTTGCACCACTTCCCATCAACATGTGACTGGGCTCACTTGGGCTGTCAGTGGAGCCTGGTAGAGTAAGTGACCAGGTTTCACGGTCACCATTGTAAATCACCTGCATCTAGGAGAACCTATCAATCTCTTCAGACAATGGCCCCTCTATGGAGTAATGCATAAAAAGATGTTTTCAGAATTCTGCTGACCTGCGTTTGAAATGGACTTTGTGGACAGGCTGCTGCAGTGTGCAGCTTGACCACTTATTTAGTAAGAAAAGGAGTTCCCTGGAGTAACAGGTGGTCATGCTCAAAGCCTACTTGAAAGGGAACGGTGTGGACATTGACCCAGGTGTTCGATGGAGATGGTCCTGTGGCCCCAGCCATGCATGGGGGAGAGATCAGGGGCCAACCCTGCCCTGGATAACCCTCGGAGATTTGGATTCACAGTCTGGTGATTCGGAGACATAGCCTGTTAGGGGTTGAATTGTGTCCCTCTTCAAAATTCATACAGTGAAGTCCTAATTCCCACTGCCTCGGAATGTGACCTTATTAGGAAATAGGGTCTTTGCAGATGCAATTAATTATGACGAGGCCTTATGGGAATAGGGCGGGCCCTAATCCCATAGGACTGATGACCTTATAAAAGAGGGGCATTTGGGCACAGACACGCACGTGGGGAGAAGGGCATGTGCAGGTAAAAGGAGAGGTTGGATGTTGGGTTTGCAAGATGAGGAACACCAACCACCAGCAACCAGCAGAAGCTGAGAGAGAGGCAGGGAAGAGATTCCCCCTCCCAGCCATTAGAAGGAACTGACCGTGCCAACACCTTGATCTTGGACTCCCAGCCTCTGGAACTGGGGAGAACAGATTTCTGTTGTTTCAGCCACCGGTCTGCGGGACCCCCTCGTGGCGGCCCGAGCAGGCTAACTCGGAGCCTGTGATGCTGATTGGTCCAGCTCATACGTAACATTTGTCCTGAGGAACCGTGATGACCGAGCAGGGGCTCCCATACCTGCCCAGGGTCGTAGCTCTGCTGGCCTTGGGCACACACACTGGCTCCCTCCCATGGCTCAGCCCCTCCGCACGTGCCCAGTGAAGCACCTGTTTCATCACTGCCTGAGCTGCCCTGATGGCCTTCAGCAACATCAGATGACTTCTGGGCCACTGCTTCATCCCTTTATCTGTACACATGAGATGCATTGTTTCCTCCTCTGCCTTCAGACTGAATGAATATCTCTGAAGCATCTTTGTTTTCCAAATGTGAATAGGTCCACTATGCCAGCCTTGTCTTCCCTCTGGGCTGGGGTTGGGGGGGGGGGGGGGGGGGGGGGAGCACAGCCAGGGAATTGCAGAGAGAGCTCTAATTTGGACTGCTGGGGGCCTTGATGAGACCTTCTCTTCCCCTTTCCTTTGCCGTCCAGGGGAATTGCTAGAAGCTACGGAACTCCAGCCCAATGGATCCCAAACTAAGAAGAATGGTGAGTAGACCTTCCAACATCCTGGAGTCTAGGGGACAGAATGCTAGACTGCGTGTGTCTAAGGAGAGCATGTGTGTGCTGGTGAGCCAGGTGGGTGGAGCAGATGCCCGTGTGGCCCTTGAGATGCCGCCATTACAGGTGTTCCTAGGCGCTCACCATCTCCACCTGACAGAGGTGGGATCTGGAGGATTTTCCAGTAGTTTCTGCAGTGCCTGGAGTGCAGTTGTGCTTGGTGAGTGGTGGAGTTGGGTGTGGACTTGAGGGGGGGGTGAGCTAGGACATAGGACAATGTGCTTTTCCATACTTGTTTTTTCTTCCACAGAAACCAATATCCGTATTAAAACCACAGAGCAGAACTTCTAACTGTCAGATGCAGAAGGCAAGGTACAACTTAGAGGGAGAGGGAGGATGTGGCCAATCATCCACATTTCTCACCACACCCTGAACTCTCCCCGACCCCACCAATATTAGTGCGCATCATTTTCGGGTGGAGGCCCAGGAATCTGCACTTTAGGTGTGTAATTCAGTGATTTTTGGTGTAGTCACGATATGTGCGACCATCAGCACAGTGGATTTTAGGCTATTTTCATGGCCTCAAAAGAAACCCTGTACGCATATCAGTCACTTCCTATTCCCCAGTGCCCACCTCCAGCCCCGAGGAACCCTCATCTCCTCCCATGTCTCTAGGCTCCCTGTGGTGCAGGCTGTCAGCCCCTTCACAAGACGCATTTCCAAGGAAACAAAGGTTTATGATTAGGATAAACTCCAGACTCTGTTTTTTAGTCTAGAGGGAGATCAATTGAGGTTTTTCTGGATGTGGGGTTTGGAGCATCTTTAGATGGTGGAGTGGTGTGAGTCTAGGGAATCCCTGCTTTGTAGCCGGAGTGACCAGTAATGGCACTGGGTGTTCTGGGGAAGTTTCTGAGCCGCCCACCCGGCAGCAGACAAGAAAAGTTGTCCATACGTGAACCGTTGTGATTTCTCTGAAGTTTGTGTCAGGTTGTCCAGCCTCAGTTTTTAGGGTGTTGGGAAAGAAGGGAAGTTTTCCTTTTTAGTGATTGCAAGTCAGAAGGGTGGAGAAAATTGGAAACATTAGTATGGAGAGGTGTAGCCAGCTATTGGAGGAAACTAAAAAATTCAGGGCCCAGCCTAGTTTACAGGCGGATAACAAAACCTCAAAGACAACGACTAGGTCTAGGATCTGATAATGGGTGCACTACAGTTCTTTACTGAAACACAATACTCTCTCTACAGTCACCCCTGTTTCCATCAAATGTAATCACAGCAGGATTAATTTGTTTGTAAAGTAAGTCTAGTCTCTGCACTTGGCCTGATAATTTATGTAAGTGCGCCAAGAATAGTCACTGGTCACATAGGCTCTTTTTGTTTTTTTTTAATGTTTTATTTATTTCTGAGACAGAGAGCATGAGCAGGGAAGGGTAAGAGAGAGAGGGAGACACAGAATCTGAAGCAGGCTCCAGGCTCTGAGCTAACCGTTAGCACAGAGCCCGATGTGGGGCTCGAACCCACGAACCGTGAGGCCATGACCTGAGCCAAAGTTGGACGCTCGACCCACTGAGACACCAAGGTGCCCCACATAGGCTCTTTTTAAGTCTGCTTTACCAGAACTTTCAATAAAGAATCTCAGACTGGACTTCTGAAGTCTCTCTAGATCAGGAAGCCAAGCCAAGGACTTGCTATCATTCTTCACCTATAATACCTGCAAATCTGGGTGAATTCCTCTCTTCTTCGGTCCCCAAGATATATTCATAGTAATTAATTTTTTATTGAATTTTAAGTAACGTGGTGTTATTTTCAGGTCTACAACATAGTGATTCAGCAGTTCTAGATGTTAATCATGGCTCACCAGAAGTGTGGTCACCAGACAGTGTTATTGCCGTAATATTATCTATATTTCCTGTGCTGTACTTTTTCATCTCAGCCACTTACTTATTTTGTGACCAGAAGTTTGTACCTCTTCATCCTCTTTATCTATTTCACCCATCCCCTCCTGGCCTCTGGCAGCCACAAGTTCTCTGTATTTAAGAGTCTGTTTGTTTGTTTGTGCCTTTGTTTTGTTTTTTAGGTTCCACATGTAAGTGAAATCATATGGTACTCATATTTTAAGTTCCTAAAATCTGTCAGAAAGCGTCCCTCCTTGCACATGTATGTACATATAAGGCTAGAAACCCTGTAAGCAAGGTACCAGGCTGGTTTTGGGGGGCTCTACTGGGTAGGTAATGTCAACTTTAGTTCCTTAAAACTGGTCATATCTGATTCTACATGCCCAGTAT